GAACTTACCTCGTGCCTCTGTCCATCACACATGCGGGCAGGGTGCGGGCCATGCTGCAGCTCCCCTGGCCACGTGCCAGGGGGCAAGGGGTGGAGCCCGTCCCCAGCTCATCCAATCAGTGCAGCTGCGGCAGGACTTGGCTCACTGATGAACCGGGCCCCGTGGGGGTAAGCAGCTCCGCGGTTGCCCCACCGCCGCCGCCACAGTGGCTCTGTGCTCCGCTGTCGCGGTTCTGCAAAACCGCCGCCGCTGGAGCTCTGTGCTCCGCAGCGGCGCCACGGCTCTGCTCTCCGCTACCACCACTGTAGCTCTGTGCTCCATGGCAGCCCTGCCGCCGCCACCACAGCTCTGCGCTCTGTGGCGGCGGCAGCACAGCCACGAGCCAGATAAAATGGCTTGGCAGGCCACGGGCCGTATGTTGGACAAGCCTGGGTTAAATGATTAACTATTTAGCCTTTTACCTCCCTACTCCACACACAACAAGAACTAATATTGTTTTGTTATTTATATCAGTCTCATGCTGCCACTGATCAGGGTTCCAGGGCATGAGGCTCTGTACAAACATAATAAAAAGACAGATGATGGTCTGCTAATTAGGGTACCAATCTAGCATTAGGAGACTTTGGATTCGATCCCCTACTCTGCCATAGACCCTATATGTAACCATGGCCTAATCATTTGATAGCCATCTGTAAAATGTGGCTAATATCATTGCTCTACCTCACAGAAGTGTTGAGAGGATAAATACATTAAAGATTGTGAGGTACTCAGAAACCATGGGCGTGGTGGCCATGTCAGATGGGAGAAAATTCAATCTAAGAGAAAACAGCTGGTGGAGAAGCAGCAGCAGAGCACTTCAAGTAGTGGCCACAGTTGCTCACTCCGGAATGCATGTGTTGTAAGCATTCTGGAAAGCTAACTTTAGGGAGGGGACTGAAAGACAAAGGGAGCTAGCTGTATGAATGCAAGATAGCATAATGGCTCTTAGCTGTGTGGGTAAGCCATGTTTAATTTTCAGTCATCTCAAGAGGACAGAAGGAAGTGAATTTACTGGCGTTTGGAGTTACGATCAACACTGTGCTGAAGGGCCTCAGTCCATGTGTGTCTATTGCCTGGAAATTCCTCACTCCAAAGCCAAGAGGCCCCCTCATACATGCCCTAGAAATTCCCTCCCTCTCTGTCACTTGAGCTGAAAGAGGTTGGATAAAATTCATACGTTATCAAACAGCAAAAGACCAGAACATTTATTAAAATTACAAAAAAATATAAAAGACAATGCAGGTCCTCTCCTACAGGAGGTCACTAAACAACCTGCTGCTGTATAAAAGGTGTAAGAGGCCTGAGATTTTAGGAAGAAAAGGGAGGAAACTTAGAAAAGGATGTAAACAACAAGTGACCTTATCTACAATTGCATTTAACAATACCTTTTCCAAAGCACATCTACCTATGAGTCATTCCCTGAACCTTCTCATCCCACCATCTCTGGTTTCTCCCAATAGTTCAATCTGGAAGGCAGCATCTCACTTTTCCCATCCTGGTTCAGTCTGATTTAGCTTGTGTAGAAGACTGTATCTCCTCCCCTTCTAGTCCCTAGTCATTGTATCCATGAAGGAGACAAACTGGGGAAGTTTACTTTTCTCCACCAGTGCAGCCCCTATTTGAGGTCCATGAAGCGGATGTCCATAATGAGCAGGAAGTTTTTGGGCAGGGGGCGTGGTGCTGGTGAGAGGACTGTGAAGACCTGGCGCTCCAAGTCCACACCGGTGACCACGATGAAGCCAGCCACACTAGTCTCAGAGATGTTTTCATCGGGGCTATCAGCTGTGCTCACACTCAGTAGATGGTGTACCATATCACGGCCTGGAGTCACTGGGACCAGTTTGAGTTGATTGTCTTCCTGTGACATGCCAAGGGGCAGGCACGAGTCAGGGATGGTGGGTGCACCCACCTTGTATATCTTAACATCAGAGAACTTGACATCAAAGGCATGAGGATAGAAGCAGCCCCGGAAGCCATAGAAGTACTCCCGGATACGGTCATCGCGGCATTCCCGCCTGAAGTCCTTGGAGCGTTCCACCACACCGCCTGACTTGGGAAGCAGCACCGTACGCACAAAGTGAGGAAGATCCCTCTTCAGTTCATTGTAGAGACGCTCCTGGTCCAGCACTACCACCACATCCACCTCAAAGGCAGAGGCTGCATGTACCAGTGCCTGGTACCCAGAGCCCTTCACCCAGCCGCACGTGTTGATGATGCAGCCACTGACTGAAGCCCGGCGGTTGACCTCACAGCGCTGGTTAAAGACATCGGCCAGACGAGATGTGATCTGGGAAGAGAAAGAGACATCGATAGCTGGAACCCAATCAAGGGAGAGGGGTGGACATCTGGACCTATGAAAGCAGAGAAGTGGATATCTGAAATAATCCTTCCCACTCTGTCCTTCCTTTCTCAGGGTTGGGTTCATATCCTTTGTTGGCAGCCACCACAGGAAGAAATTGTGGCCACATACAAATAGCTACTCAAGCACACCTGACAAGGACAAGGAAACGTCTGCTTGTCTAGTGGGTAGACTGAACAATCTGAAACGTTTTTGCTAGTGCAAATTAACATGGTCCTATTAGACAGAGAAGGCTGAAGATGCCTCAACCATCTCCTGGTGTCACTTGTGTGCAACCTGTTGGAACATCCCTTCCAAAATGCCTTTGTTTGTGCAAAAAGTAGGACAAGTATTTAAGCACGAATAACCACCCCACCTGCAACGTATACCATTCCACAGAGTCTCCCCCAGCATCAGAACCAGATGCTCCAGGGATAAAATGCCTTTTGGGTTCTACAGAACTTGAGTGAAAGGAAGGAAGAAACTTTAGATTCTCTCCACTACCAGTCTGCTTCTGCTCACCTTGTTATAGAGTTTGATGTTGGTGCCAGGCGTGGTGGATCCAAAGTGATAAACCAGGGGGGCCTGGAGGGAGAAGCCCTCCTCCACATCTGCAGGCCGCTCAATGTACAGTGCGCCCATGGTGCCAGGAATAGAGACCGAGCCTTGGCCCACGTCCAGCTCCACGAAAGTGGGTCGGCGTCCCAGCCGCACAGCGTAGTTCAGCAGTAGCCGGCACACAGTTGACTTGCCCACATCTGTAGGGCCCACTACCATGACCCGGGGCCCTCGCTCATCCTCGCGCTCCGCCTGCCGGCGCATCTGTTCCAGGGCTGTGTGGGTGTTGAGGTACAGCAGCATCGGGGTGTCCTTAGAAATGTAGGCCACTTCTGTGCGGCCGCTCAGCTGCACTGTACAACCATGCCAGGTGAACACCGCCACCTTGGCGCCGGCATCAAAGGTGAACTTCTTGTTTCGAGTCAGCTCCGTGCCAAAGATCTCTGCCATGCCCGTCAGCAGCTCTAGCTGAACAGTTTGGGAGGCCTCCACCTCGAAGCGGAGCTCTGTCTCCCGCTCCAGCTCAAATTTGGCCACCTGCTTCTTCTCATCCCCCGTTTCCTCTGCCATTGCTTCCCCCTTGCGGGCCTGTCAGAGACACAGAGAGATGCCACGCCAGGGGAAGGAGGGCCTGTTGCCGAGGGCTCCAAAGTCCTATTCGGAACCAGCCGGGCCGAGGGCCCCACCCCCACTCCCTGTTCGGGAGGCCGTGCTCTCCGGCCAGTGTCTGCCAGGCCGGGCCGCACGGCAGCACCGCCACCAGGGCAGGATCGGGGGGAGGAAACGCGGCACGATGAGGCCGCTCACGGCCGGGACAGGCGACCCACGGGCTGGGCGGGCCCCTCCCGGGCCCGCGAGCGCGGCTTGGGCGGACGCAGTGTTACCATGACAACGAGGCAACGGAAACAGCGGAAGGGGACAGGGAGCGACAGGGGCCAAATGCCGCCCCACGGAAAGCCACCCACCTGCTGCTCCCGCCCGATAAAGCGGAAAGAACAGAATGCAAGCACACTTCCGGACCTGGCGCCGGAAGTGCAGCAGCAGGAGTCGACCTCGGCAGTGAGCGGCGGGAGGCCGCGGTGCCTGCTGGGGGCTGTAGTCCCCGCGTGCAGGAACCACTCAGAAGCTGGGGAGAAAGGCGCATGAGGCCTCCTGGGAAATGTAGTTCCATGGTGTCGAAAGTGGCCGTGGAAAGACGACTACGCGCAAGTGCTGATGGGAAGTGTAGTTCCCTGGTGACTCAGCGGAGCCGCCGGGCCGGGAGGCGGGGGCTGGGCCCGGGCCACTGCAGCCCCAGCCCCAGCCCCGTGCGCGGGTTTCCCGGGGCCGGGCTGTGATCCTCGCGGGGAGTTTCCAGCCTGCTCGGGCTGCTGGTGCCCGGCGGGATGGAGAAGGGACAGGCCCCTCCGCGCCCTGCCACGGCTGCCCG